AAATCAATTACGTCGTTTAACGCCATTTCTGGATGAAAATCAATTTTTACGTGTGGGAGGCAGAATTCATAAGTCTCTTTTACCATTTGAATCAAAGCATCAATTAATTTTACCGAAAAAACATACTTTAACCAATCTCATTATTGACGATGCGCATATAAAGTATTTACATGCCGGCCCACAAACAGTCCAATACTTATTATTACAACGTTTTTGGATACTTTCTTGTCGCGATATCGTGCGCCAGCGCATACATCGCTGTGTTATTTGTTTTCGCTCTCGTCCTAAGTCTAATCAGCCACGTATGGCACCGTTACCTGCTACTCGTTTACGTCCCTCGCGACCCTTTATTAAGACCGCCGTAGATTACGCGGGTCCTTTTTACGTACGTGCAAATAAGGTGCGCAATGCTAAAGTTGTGAAATGTTACGTTGCAGTTTTTGTATGTATGAGCGTTAAGGCCATACATTTAGAGCTTGTGTCCGAGCTTTCCACGGAAGCTTTTCTCGCGGCTTTGCGGCGTTTCACATCCCGTCGAGGTTTATGTACTGATATTTTTTCGGACTGTGGGAAGAACTTTGTCGGATGTAATAATTATTTAAGGGATTTGTTCGCGTTCTTAAACAGCGACTCTGTACAGGCTAATTTAAATCGAGAGACACTTAAACAAGGCCTAACGTGGCACTTTCAGCCACCATACGCAAGTCATTTCGGTGGGCTATTCGAGGCGGGTGTCAAAAGTTTTAAGCATCATCTACATCGTGTTATTGGCACTCGTACTCAAACATATGACGAGATGCATACCCTCCTATGTCAAATAGAGGCTATACTGAACTCGCGTCCACTCTGTGCAATCAGTGCTTCGCCTGATCCGCTTCCTTTAACTCCATCACACTTTCTGATAGGAGAACCTTTGATTGCTTTGCCTGATGTTTCTTTGGTGGACGAGAATACTAATCGACTTACGCGTTGGCGCTGGGTACAGCAGTCCGTTCAGCATTTTTGGAAGAGATGGAGTAGAGAGTATCTTCATGAGATTCAGCAAAGTCAAAAATGGTTTGAGACTCGCGGGTCTTCTATTCGTGAGGGTACTATTGTGGTAGTTTGCGATGATCACCTGCCACCATTACAATGGAAACTAGCACGTGTCCATGCTCTACATCCAGGTTCGGATAATGTTACTCGTGTGGTGACTTTACAAAGGGGCAATACATTTTACAAGCGACCTGTTGTAAAGGTGTGTCCACTCCCTATCGAATAAACAATTAATCGTTGCATATCGAATCTTAGTTCTAAGTTTTTTATTTATATTTTATTTTGTTCTAAATTTAATATTCAATTTGTTCATTTAATGTTAAAGGCACGTTCCTTTAAGGTGAGCGGCATGTTCCGTAACGAAACAGATCATTGATAATTGGCTATACAAAGACAACACAACTGTGGGTAAAATTTTTATTGTCTATGGGCAAGGCGATTAGCTGTCTTCGTTCCAAATCCCCACCCTTAATCCTTGGGTGACGGTTTACTACTGTGATTTCAAATTGTTAACTGCGCGCACCTAATTTTGATTGAGCTTGGTGAATTGTTCATTATCGAGAATAAGGACATTTCGGAAGAACGGTGGATCAGTGCCTATGGACTATATATCGTGTATGATATATTCGCTGGTAACCGCGTCGACGCACCCCGTTCCAGAACCCAGCCCTCGGAATCCGTGGCGGTAAAGGATCGCTTTCGGTGAGTCGCCAACCCCTGCTTAATATCGTACAATATATATATATATATATGTATCCAGAAGAATATATAATTATATTTCAATTAAGATCAGTTATTAAATCTTTTATTCATAATATCACAATCAACAAAAAATAAAATTATAACCTTTTAAATTTCAATATCACAAAGACACGTACAATTATTATACTAACGATACTGAACTTGAATGTCGACGGCGTAAGTCGAGACAGGTGTAATGTTAATTCGAACGGTGGGTATGTGCTTTTTTTGATTCTTATAATAATATTGTCAATAATAGATTGACTTACTACTTACTACTAACCTAACCAAAGAGTAATGTAATATAAAAAGGGATTCTAACCTAAACCGCTCTAGAAATCAGTACTTGTTACTTATTAAGTACCCGGAGTAGTCACGCTCTCTTAAAAATCTCTGCGATGGTGTCGTGTGCGTCACGTCGTTACGTTCCCTGAAATATAGTAGAGCGAAGCGATGGCTGGCTCATGCGTCAAGCTCGTCAACGGGTGCTGCCAGTGCGGATGAGTCTGCACTGGACTCCTTAATTTCGTCCATTTTATTTTATTATGAATATTGTATATTGATTTGTCAATGAGTATGTTTGATTCGGCAACCAGCATATTAATCAGTAATCGAAAACTATCTATCTTGTTATTTCTGATATTGTAATGGAAAGTGATTTCATAGTTTAATTAGGTCACATTCCAATAAGACTTGTGAAATACAAAGGGGACAAAAAAGCAGCCCTTGCTGAGTTTCTCAGTACAAGGTTACCTGCCGTAGTTTTGCAAACTGTTGGCACTGTTTTCGACTTTGACAAGTACTATGTAACAGCGTAGATTGAATTGATTTTGATATTTATATTAATATCAGTAAAACAAGTCGCTGAAAACGCACTAACTAATATAACCAATTGGCTCTTCAAAAACTATTTAACATTAAATATTACCAAATCCAAATTTTTATTATTCTCAATCACAAATACTTATTGCATAAAAATTCACACTTGCAACCAAAACAACCCTTTTTCCTTATGTAACTGCTTATCATTGGAAAGGGTGAACCATATTAAATATCTTGGTATACAGCTTGATAGCACTTTGAATTGGGATATTCAAACTGCTCATCTTTCATCTCAAACAAGAAAACTAATATGGATATTTAAAAAACTCAGAGACGTGCTGAAACCATCCTCACTTAAAAGCATCTACCATGCACTTGCGCAATTGATGTTATGCTAAAAACGTGTAAAACTAAAATCATAAAATTAGAAAGAGCACAAAGATCAATCAATCAAATCAGCAATGTCAAAAAAACCACATCGGTACCCGACTACTATGCTTTATCGTAATTGTGCAGTTCTCAGCGTACGCCAACTGTTTATCCTTCACGCCATTCTGTACAAACACTCTAAAGTTCCATACGACCGTAATAGCTCCATATCTAGAAAACGTAGAACCGACAGAGTTTTTACCATAGTAACTCATCGTACTTCTTTTGTTAGAAAACATTTATGTTTCCTTGCACCTTATTCATACAACAAAATAAATTCGTTACAACTGTAAAGTCTACTCTAGAACAGAGATGTGACTTATCTTAGATACAAGTATTTGAAATACAGATACAAGATCCAAATACGTATTTTCATCTTGTATCTAAAATACTTTTTTTAGGAAGTATTTTGTATCTTATATTTAAATACTTTTGTTTAGTATCTTAGTATCTTTTAAATACTTTTTCTGATAAAATACTTTATTAAAAGATTGTTTCTTACATTTTATAAATATCTTTGCCTAAAACCTACATATCTACAAAAAGAAAGTGTCCAATTATATTTAGAATATTTAGTTGAAAATAACTTGAATCCAAACATTGTTTGGTGTCATTTGGTGGTGAAAAAATGAATTTTCAGTTCTCCGTAATTTTCTCATCTGGTCTACGTCGTAATACGTCGTCGTACGTAAAACCAGCTTTTTAAATAAATAATAATTTTATAATTAAATTTAAATAATTATTCTTGTTGTTATATTTGAGCAATTTTTCATTCGCAATGCTATATTGAAAAAACTTATTATACATTGTGATTGACAAACAAAAAAAAAAACATTTCAGGCTTTTTTAATTTGTTATCTCCAAACGGAGGAAAAGTGGGTGAAATTTAGCTTGTAAGATTTGAGTACAAACACCGGTACAGGTGAAACTAAATAAAAGCTTGTAAAAATTGTTTCTAATGAAAAATGCTTAAAAAATCCACTTTGACCCTGGTCCCATCTGGTCCAAGATTTAGGTTCTTGTGGTCTTTAATAAACAAACTTAAATTCAAATCTTTTTTTAGAAAAGTATTTGTATTTATTAAAAGTATTTATAAGATACCTATCTTGTATCTAGTATTTCAAATACTTTTCTAGAAAGTATTTCGTATCTGGTATCTGAAATACTTAATTTAAAAGTATTTTGTATCTTGTATTCCAGATACTTTGTACAGGGTATTTTGTACATCTCTGCTCTAGAAAAGTAGTTACTCATGCTTGATTACACAGACACAGAATCATTATTAAGATCTCTTTGATAGTTGATTTTTAATTTTGCTTTTTGCATTTCTATAGTCACGCACATACACATACGCAGAGGCACACACACACGCACACCCACACATACATACATCATCGCACCCATGTTTAAGCTTTACTTTATTAAAATCGAGTTAGTATTGACGTGCACTGTGATGAGCGCTCGTTGAATCGCGGGTGGGACCTGGAGTCCTGAATTACAGGATTGCCCTAGCTCCAGGTCGCATAAAATAATTAATCACAAATTGTTTGCCTATTCATATTTTATTGTGTGATAAATAAACTGATTATTATTATTAATCGAAGTATGGATGCATAATGTAAATATACTGCACATAAAAAAAACAAGCTGAATTCTGCGCTCCGCTGTTTGTTTTTCATTCCAAACCTGAATTCGGATGAATCGAGTCGCAACCAATAAGTTGGACGTCACTAGTATTGTTGACATACAAAATACTACTATTGTTCCTTTACACGTAACGTAGGTAATAAATAAATAAAATTTGCAGAGCAAAAATTTTTTTTTTTAAAGTTAAATATTCTAAGAATCACGAAAAGATGTCATTTTATTAAGCCTTTAGTGTCGATATGTGTCGAAACTCGTTTTGCTCACGAGGGCTTGCTTGATAAGTTTTCTCTATTTAGGGCACAAACTACATAGCTTAATTTATTAAATTGTTTCGAGGTGGCAGCACTGACCACAACTTGTCAGCTGATTACGATTTGGTAATGTTGGTAGTTAGTATTGGTAAGTTGTAAAAAAACCCGCCTAAGTAATATTTCCAAAAATAAGTTTTGTTGCTTCCTTATATGTTGGACGAGATATAATAGAAATTATACTACTATATACTTTTAAAAATGCATTATATTCAGAAGTGTGTAGAAAAAGTGTCAAGTTTTAGATCTAACAAAACACACGGCAAACTAAGCAACTCTAATATTCTTCTCTATTGTAATTATTACAGTTTCTATTCGCAAAAGGTGAGTTATTTATGCCAATGAGGATAATTTTCATTTTCACGCTTTAATTTTAATACTGTTCTTACAGGTTTTGATGGCACTTTACGAAAAAAATATTGAATTTGAACCGATAGTAATCGAAATCACTAAGGGCGAACAATATTCTTCATGGTTCTTAGATATAAATCCTCGTGGAGAGATCCCCGTACTCAAATTAAACAATGAGATTATACCAGATTCTAGCAGAATAATAGATTATTTGGAATCAAATTTTGATCCAGGTTTGCAAACATATTAGTTTAGTTATATGATCCTATAACAAAAGAAAAACACATCCAGTGTAACTTTTTTTTTTTTTTTCTAGAAAATCCCTCTCTTATAAATGTTTCAAGTGATAAAAAGGTTTTAGAGAGAATAAACAAGTTTCGTGATTTAATTGAAGCATTACCCGCAGGAGTTATAACTGTGGGCTCATTTTGTCATCCTCATCTTTGTGGAAGTCCAAAATTACCTTTTATATTGCCAGTTAGAGAAGTACTTAAAAGTAAGTATATTGTATCACAAAAGTTACATTTGTAAGAACGAGAATGAACTATGCTTTTTTAACTCGCTCAGGTTGTCATTAATTTGTATCTGTGTTCATAAAACCAATTCTAAAGATGCTAGTTTATTCTAAAGTATCTATTATTTATCGTTAGCTGGTGATTTGGCAAGTTCTAAAAACTTGCGCAAGTTGGCTGAGGGGAATCCTAAAGCACGTGGGATATTGTTGTATAAAGCAGAGATACAAGATAGAAAACATGAAATTCTTTCTAATGAGGATGAATACCTTAAAGTTCTGAATATTGTTGATCAGGTTTTATCACATGTTGAGGAAGAATTAAAAACTCAAAATGAAGGTATAACAATTTAATATGCATTTGGAATATTAAAATTTTACTGGATATGAGAACTAAAGTGACTTTTGTATATTTCAGGTGACTGGTTATGTTGTGAACACTTCACAATTGCAGATATTAACTTAGCAATCCTACTTCAAAGATTATGGGAACTTGGGTTTGAAGGAAGATTTTGGTCAGGAGGAAAACGTCCTTTGCTAGAGAAATATTTTGACCGTGTAAAACAAAGAGATTCATTTAAACAAACAATACCAAATTTGCCATTTCATATAAAAATGATAATCATGTCACAACCAGCTAGCTATGTGGGTACTGCAGGAGCTTTATCTGTTGGTGCTGTTCTAGCCTTGGTTTACATCTTTAAAAAATTGGTTTTTTAATATGTTTGGTGTGTATTTGGAAATTAACATTAAAGTAAAGGCAATTAACATTGAAAAATAACATTTTCCTAATGGTAATTGCTTATACTTGGTTTATAATAAAAATTATGTAGGAAAATATTAGCAACAATAGAAGTTTTTTGAAATATTTTACATTTAGAATCTAACAAATAACCCTTAATCAAGTAATAAAAAAGGAAGGAATAATTGTAATAAAAAAAACATTGCTCTCAGTAGTAATAAATTTTTATTACTACTGAGAGCAATATGTAATTTTTACTCACCAGTGGTGCCATGGTGATCATCTAAATTAGTTTTAATTTTTCCTTAAAAAATTCAATAGGGGTGACCGCATATTTGAAGGAAGATATCTTATAACATCAAAATTGACAATTAATAACTAGCACACTCAATAGAAGACTAATGCATACTTCTGTGACATGCTTGTCAGATTTCCACTAACCAACTAAACAAACCTGAATAGACAGGACTTAATAACATTCATATAAGCCCATATAAACCATCACAGTGAAATAAAGGACATAATGGTTACTAATGAAATGCTTTTTATTATATTTGACTTTGAAAACACCATCACTATTTTTTTATTGTTACAATCCATCAAAACTTTCTAGAAACTTAACAATGAATAAGTCATTTAATAAGAAAAACAAATCAATTTATTACTTGACACATTTCCATGCTCTTCACATAATTTAATGTTAAATAATGTTTAAGAAATTTGTATACTTAAACTAGCTATTTTTACAAATAGTTTATAATAAATTATAAGCAAATGCTTAATAGATTAGTCTGAATAAATATAGAAGATACAGCACTTGTAACTTAAAATGACCAACCACTGCTAATTTCCTTACTTTTTTCAGCCCATGAAAAACAAACAAAATCTTAAATCTAACAGCCATAGAACTTATTTCAACTTTCATTTATAAGCAACAGCAGATTTCATTTAGATTGAAATATAAATGAAATCTGCTGTTTGCTACTACTAATACTCAATAAATTATGTGCAAGGGAGAAATAGTGTTTAGCTTCACATCATCAAGCAAAAGATATCTTTACCTGCTTTTTACATAAATATTTAATATCTTCATTAGAGTAATAGATAGATGTGAGTATAGCTTTACATCTGTTTGGGTTTCAGTCAGATAGATAAAATTATATATTACATTTTGTCTAGAAGTTTTTAATTGTTTATTTCATTTGTTTAAATCATATTGTATATTAAGTTGTTAATTATTAAATTATATATAAATCTTTACATTACTATATCCTATGTCCCTTGCAAATAATTTGTACCATATATACCTTTGATTTGTTCATAGTACCAATAGGATATTGTGAATTAATATATTCAAGTTTTTTTATCAATACCAATACCCCTTATAAACTAATTTGTGGTTTAACTTTATGTTAAATAGACTTATATAACCTTAATAAAATTTTCAACAACGCACCAGCTTAAAATCAACCACATAGTATGTACAAACATAAATAAATTTAAATTATATTATCTTGTTTCTTCTTCTGCATTGTCTTGGCTTTTATTGAGAGGCATTCCCATAAAATGCTTTCCATTAGAACTCATTCTTTTTCGATAAATTGGAGTAGCAGGTAAAGGTTTGTCTTTGTTGTATTTAAATATTCCATCTCCAGGTGAATTTGGTAATAAACTGGGAATTCTAAACCAAACTCTATAAGTAATAAACCATGTTAGTATTGCAATCACACCACTTATAAACTTCTCTACCATAATATGATAATACAATATCGTGGAGACTAACATGACATCCCATAGTAATTGCAGAAGTGCTATTGCAATCAATAACCCTCTCACATAAGGTGTAAAATTTTCATATGATAATTTCAAGACATCTAATTCTTCTACCTTAATGTTTTTTAATGGATTAGTACGAGTTGTTCTATCATCAATGCTTCTAGAATATTTCTCATCCCGAATAAAATCTTTAATTCCTTCCCATCCAATTATAGCTCTAGCTTCTTCAATCATGACTAAGCTAGAATATATCAAAATGAAACAATGTCCGGATATGTCAAATCCATTCCAAAAGTGTCCATTTTTTAAACATGTGCTTTTATCATCAATTGATTTCATATTACAACGTCCATATTTTGTTTCAATATAATTAAACAGTGTGGTCCATCCATACCAAAAACCAGTAGCTATCACGAGCCGAAATAAATGACTTGTTAGTATGAGCCTTTTCTTACCACAACAAGTAGTATAGGATGTCAACAGAACATAGGGAACTGTTAAAAACAAAGTCCAAAACCAACCAATTTTCACAAAATATTGATTAAAAACATTGTCACTTCTGGAAAAGTAAGACTTGGGAAAAACCAAAACATCAGCAATTAGAGAAAGTAAGAATAGTGCACCTAAATATAAAGCTATTTTTAAATTGATGTCAAAAAATAGAATCTTCTTACAAACGTGCACAATCATTAAAGTCAGTACTTCTAAGATCGAAGAAGCTTCACGTATTGGTTTAGTTCCTTTGCTTTCTGTAAACTCATTTTGGACTTTAAAATTCATTCGTGGACTCTTTAAGTTATTTCTGCTTGTCATTGTATTTATTTCTTCAAGTACATAAAGACGACAAAAGATCTACGATCCCAGCACCGAATCACCACGAATTAGCCACAGACTAGGATTGGGCAAAAACTATCGATATATTAAAATATCGATATCTTTTTCTAAAAATATCGATATAAATCAGCGATATTTTTCCCGCGATATATCAGCGTTCGATATTTATTTTCAGATATCAAATAGGTATCATAATCAATATATTTTTTAAAGTTCTGCTGTCTGCTCATGCGTCACATCATGTATTTCTTAAATTTAGAAAAAGAATAGGGAGGCTGTATCTATGACCTGCTTGTATTTTTTGTTTCTCTATGACAATGACACTGCTTGTTGGTTTGGTTGGTATCTCTGAGTGTGCTCCTGATGTCAATATCAGATAAATACACGTTTGTTTGAATAATCTTATTTTTGTTGTGTTGATAATATTGTTTTTCAAGCCTTAGTAATAGGGTTCCTGTTTTACCCATTGGGTACGGAACCCTAAAAATGAACTACAGAACAATTTTAATTTGTTTGATTCAATTAAATATACATTTCTTCCCACAAACTCGTTTTCAGCTGCCTATTATGGTAATTTGCCTGAAATTTGTCCCATAGGGGAGGCCTATTTTGAATTAGCATTATAAACATTTCAATAGAAATTCCGTCATTGTCTTATAGTAGAGAACTTTTTAATACGCCTAATAGACAGGCCTAAGCCTGAAAGTATAAAAGGGAGTTTATCGATTTTTTATAATTTAGCTAGTACAGCTATTATTTCAAACTATTTAGACTAAATGAATAATAAATTATAAGTTATTGTTTAAAAAAGCACGTAATCTATTTAACGTACAACATACAATAATACAATAATTAACGTATTACAAGGCTTAGCGTGCTACAAAATTTAATGAGTCTTCACGCACCCTTATGCTTTTTTAAATTAACGCGTTAATAATTTAGCGTCTTCATTAACATGTTAAAAAAATATATCATTAGTCTACATCGCATTAATGATTTTTAGTCAATTTGAGCACCTCTGAACGTAACGGACAAAAAGTGAAATATTTTTATCTGTCATTTAACTCGATTTTAACCGACAAACAAGGCCTTTATGCCTTTTATTCTTCATATTGTTGTATATTATTAAAAACATGGAAACGGCCCATTTTTTGCTAAGATATCGAAGTAAAATTTTGTACAACAGTCAATGGCTTTATGGGCTAAGCTCCCTGCGCCTTTCCTTTACGGAAAAATCTTCCAAAAAAAACGCTATGATTGTGACACTGTGCTGTCATCACTTATTTCATTCTCCACCCGTAAAATTGTAGAATCAAAGTATATAAAATAAATGCTCGATCAATTTTAATTAAGATACCTTTTTCATTTTACATGTAACGTATAGATATATTTTTTTAGTAGATAGTAACTTTTCGGTATGCAAACAAAGCATCAAACACTCAATTGAAAATGGAGGTATCTAACAACACCGACGCCGTCAACCTTGGCGTTGGTGAAGTAGAAGCAGAAATTGGCGAAGAACTGAAACAATTAGAAGAAGGTAAAGATTTTGACACGCGCAGCGAAGTATCTAGCTCTTCATCAAGTGAATCAAGCACGCCAAGTATAAGTTCTGTGAGCACCAAATCAAAAGAAAGACGCGTTAATCGTAAACGCACTAAATCAAAAAGCCATTCCCCCGTTCAAAGTAAACGCAGATGTGTTGCTGATGCCAGCACTAAGATCAAGACTTACGATTACATGACTAAATTGAATTATTTGTTTAGGGACACTCGTTTCTTTTTGATAAAGTCGAATAACGCCGAAAATATAACATTGTCAAAAGCGAAAGGAGTGTGGTCAACTTTACCTCAAAATGAAGCAAATTTAAATCAAGCTTATAGGGAATCGAGAAATGTATTGTTAATATTTTCTGTGAAAGAAAGTGGCAAATTTGCTGGATTTGCTCGCTTAGGTAGTGAGTCTCGACGTGACGTGCCTCCGATTTCCTGGGTTCTACCACCAGGCCTCTCGGCAAAAGTTTTAGATGGAGTATTTAAAGTAGACTGGATTTGCCGAAAGGAGTTGCCATTTAGCAGTACTTTACACTTATACAATCCATGGAATGAAGGTAAACCAGTAAAAATTGGAAGAGATGGCCAGGAAATTGAACCTAAAGTTGCAGAAGAACTTTGTAGGTTATTTCCTGAAGATGAAGGTATTGAAATGACACCAATTCTGAGAAAGTCAAAAGAAGCATCTAAGAGAGGATATATGAAAAGTGGTGGTACTTACAGAACTTACAGAGCTCCACTATCAGTAAGAGGGTCAAATTATAGAAATCGTTTAGGACTGTCATCTAGAAGTAGAAGGAAAATATTTTCATCACCAAGAAGCAGAATGACTCCTGCCTTTAAAAGACGGTCACCCTCCCCATATATGCGAGAACGCATACCGGGATGGTTTGGTCGTTCCAGAGATAATTATAATAGTAGTGGGTCTGCAGCAGCTGAAGCATATGTGGCAGAGTATATGCGTTCAATGCATCATCAGTTGCCACCTCTGCCATATGTACCTCCTCCAGGGTTCAGTGGTGCACTGTCATCATATGATGGGTTGCCACCGCCACCACTTCCTCCTCCTCCACGGTATTATGATATGCATGATTATCCTCGCTCAGTGTTAGTGTATGATAAAAGATCATATGAACGTTCAGTTGATGAGTTCTTGTGGCGTACTTCTGACCGTTCCCGCGGTCGTAGTCGTGAACGTGAACAACATAGATCATATCGAGATCGCAGATAAGAGTGTAATTTGGCCACCGATGTATTAATTATTTGGTATTTGCTAATAAAAAAATTGTGTTTGAACTGTGAACTTTATTGAATCAATAATCTTGAGTGTTGTGACGAACAATCCATTATGCAATGCAGTAATTGGACATTGAGATTTTATATTTTAAGTACAAATAAGACTGCTGTGTTTGTTTAAAAGACAGTAATCTGAGTGTGGGAATCTCAGAAGCAGTACAGGGTTTGTGTAAATGCTAGCATTGATAGAGACTTATGTTACAACATAAACTTAAATAATCATTGTAAAGTTATACCAGTTTATTTTAAATTTAATTTAAGCACATGTAAAAAAGCTGGTTGTTTGTGCAACTTAGGTTGTGTGTAATAGCTGTGATATAATTGTAGATCAAATACTATATTTGCAAAATTATAAGCCAAAGTATGAATTTCTGTACTGAAATTTCTAAACACTAACATCTTTTATTAATATTTCTTATAGAAAATCCATTTAATTGTATATTTTTTTATTACAACTAATTCTATTTGTAATTTTTTTAAGCAACATTTACATTTCAGTAGTGAAACTGTCACCAGCACCTTTCAATATTAATGCGTCATATTGATATATATATATATATGCAGAGTATGAAGTGAATGAGATTCACCAGAATTAAAATAATATCCTGATATTTAATTATCTTCAGTGTGAAATATTAATGCACTTAGCAGTACCTATTGCCTACAATCTCAACTAACTAATCTCTAAAAGTGTCATAAAAAATGTACTGTATTTAAATTTATAAGCTGTCTGTGCCATCCATTAAAATACATTGAACTAGGGAGTTAATAATTATTAAAACTTTCATGTTTATAAAACAGAAATTTATCCATGATTGATAATTATTAGCTAAAAGTAAAAATAATAAGAATACTATATGGATTAAAATTGTTTTTAGGTCTCTGGGCCTCCACTTGACACTTATCACTAATTACCACTTGACACTTATCGTATACAATGCGGGTAGTTGCACACGTGCTTGTTCTTGCATACCTTTTTTCGTAAGTACGTCTTGAGGTTTCAAAGTGAGTGGTGTGATTAGTAAAAGGTTATTAATTGATTTATTTATTTGATTAAAATCCTAGGATGACTATGCGCATGGAAGAGAAAGTGTAATCATTTAAGTGTTTTTAAATGAATTCTGTGTTTGTGTGAAAATAATTTCCTAGCTATAAATATTATTCTGAAAAATCTTCACGAATAAAAGCAAAACCATTATCTAGAACTACACTAAAGTCTCTGAACGTGTTTCGTATTGGAAAGACAGAACATAGAAAGCACCAAATTTCAAATTAATCAAAGAATACTCTAAAAGTCTAAAGAGTCGACATTTTTCGACTAAAGATATGCATCCCCTATCTTAATGAAGCCGTGTTGCCTAGGCATACACATGTGACACAGAAGATCTGCTTACAGCTTGTATACGCGACATGTGACCTGAATATGTGATTATTAGTGGTTACACGCTGTTGTAACGTCAAATTCTTCCAAATATTGAAACCAGTTTGAACGGATCACCGGCCTATAACATCGCCGAGTCTCATCACTTTGTCGAAACCCTGGACAAGTATTATTCTTTTAATTGGATTGGTGGAGATATTAGCTGGGATGAAGTAAATGTATGAAAAGCTATTCGCGCCAAAGATATACCTACTATACCAGAGGCCATTACAGACATGATGGCGCTGGGGGAGTTTCAGACAGAGCTGGGATGACTGGAATAACCCCCAGCCAGACATCCTAGGATTTCGTAGGTACGTAAAATAGGCGCAATTTTAACTGGACTTGTGGAGACGCCCGTCGACAGAAGACAAGAAGAAAGATAGAAATATGTACCTGTTTGAATGATAAATGTATGTATACTACGAGGAGAATCAAAGTTTTTAGAATCGCTACAAATACGAGAAACATAAACATAATTATTTTATTTTTCAACGAATTCTTCATCTTAGAGGTGATCTGTCTTAGGGATGAAGAATAAATTTTTCAATCCATCGAGTAGTTTATAAAAGATCATTAAACACGTATTTTGTAATTTAGATTTTTGCGTACCTAGTATATTAGGGCGATAAATTGAGTTGAAATATGTCATGACGTCATGCTTTTGTACATTTTCTACATAGTTCTGACTTAGAGAGCCTCCACTTTTAAACTTTAATGTCGTAGTTATTAAACTAAAATTGAAGCCAACAAAAATACGTGTCCAATATTTTTCTATTATCTATTGACGACGGACTGTAGAATTTCGTAATTGTTTTTTCCCAGTTATCATTAATAAAGCTTAGGATTTGGATTTTGAGCTTGACTTACGACCGATGAGCACTAGAAACATTATCGTGAAAAACAAGATAACCAACTACAGTTTGCCTCAACTTTTTTTTTTTATTTGTCGCTCACTTTGGAAATCGATCTGCATTTATAATGCAATGTAATAGGTAGTAAAGTTATAGTATTGTATACAATACTATCCCATAATCGTTGCCCTTTGGTATGTAATCAATAACAGAATTTCTTCAGTATCCTAGAACACTGATGCCATACCATAAGCTTACCAACGGTAGAGTCTACTCGAAATTTTTTCATGGGCGGTGAGGATGGTCAATTCTAAGATGAAGGTACTTTAAGTTTAAGTATTGAAATGGTGGTGAACCCATGTTCCATTCATAGTGATAACTCGACGACAATATTGGTCCGGATCAGACTACCATTTCGAGATGCGGGTTGAAATGTGCAAAGGACGCTTTTTGTTTTCGTCGGTAACATTCGTGGCACTCTCATTACTGACACTTATTAACCGACTTCAAAATCCAAAAGGAGGAGGTTATATGTTCGACGGCATTTTATGTTTTTTATGTATGTTCACCGATATTTTCGCCAATTGTTAACCGATTTTCAAAATTCTTTTTTATTCGACAGCTTGATGGACCGAGGTGATCCCATTTCAATTTTATCGAAATCGAATCGGTAGTTTTTCTTTTATAATAAAACAAATTACACTCTTCATCATATATGAGCTAAAAATTGAGATGATATGTATTATACCTATTTCATGTATTTCAGCTAAAAAGCAAAAGATTTCTTATTTTGAATTCATTTAAAATCCGAAAGGAGAATTTTATATAATTAAGGAGTATGTATATTTTTTATGAAAGTGGGTTTGTAAAACGATTTCTTTTTGAATTGTGAAACAATTTCTCTCCAACTAGCTATTTCCCTGCGACTTTGCTTAAGAAAATTATAACTCATGTCCAACGCGTTTTATGTAGCGTCCCGTAGATGAAAGACATAAATCGGTCCAATTGTTTCGGAGCCTATCCAATGCAAACAACCAAGCAATAAAATCTTTCCTCTTTATAATATTAGTATAGAATTATCGTCGATCCCGCAAGTGCCTAAAGACGAAAGTCTTTAATCAGTGCGTCCTACCCATTATGACATACGGAGTCGAAACGTGGACACTGACGGCACGGCTGGTCCACAAGTTGAAGGTCGCTCAGCGGGCTATGGAAAGGGCTATGCTCGGCGTTTCTCTGCGAGATCGAATCAAAAATGAGGTGATCCGGCAGAGAACCAAGGTTATCGACATAGCCCACCGGATTAGCAAGCTGAAGTGGTAGTGGGCTGGCCATATTAGCCGCAGAACCGATAACCGTTGGGGTAAACGAGTTCTTGAGTGGAGACCGCGTCTCGGCAAACGTAGTGTAGGACGTCCTCAGGCGCGGTGGAGCGATGATTTGCGCAAGATGGCTGGCAGGAGCTGGATGCGAACAGCCGAAAATCGAAGTAGATGGCGTGCAATTGGGGAGGCCTATGTCCAGCAGTGGACGAATATGGGCTGATGATGATGATGATGATAGAATTATTGGACAAAATTATGTCGAGCTAATAAAGAAAATGTTATCCCATCAAAAACATAACATGAGAAAATGCACTTGTCTCACAACGCAATTCTTCTGTCGTAAAAAGTCTTGAAATCACCGTAAACCAAGTCAATTCAGTACCTATCTTTCCGTGAGAGCAGCTTTCCAACATTGTCTTAGATTTAGGAATACTTAACAAACGCACACTACCAATAATCACCTAAGTACAACTTATAAACCAATAAAGAACATAGCCAATAACTTTAGAGAGATTTTTATGTAACTTTAGCGTACTTATGCGTTTAATATTCACATGAGTCATTACCATTTTTCATTAATTTCAAAAATCATTCAAAAATCTAAAAAACGGACAAATATTTCATACTGTTCGATGTTTTCCTTACTTTATATGCAAAATAATAACAGTGTTCATATTTTGGAGCCTATGGGTTTACTAGAAGTACTTTAGAATTTTGAAGAACTATGAGTCAGTCGGTGACAAAAATAAAGTATTTTGAGCTGCAATCTTTCTTAAAGTACTCGTTCAAGTAGTGTAATTTGAAAATGTGCCTTGTTATGTGATGCCTTCTTGGTCACTTAAATTTAGGCTTTTAGTTTACTCTACAACGAAGTTACAAGTAGTCAAAAATGGCCCAAATGGCTTCGAGAAAAAGATGACACGGCCGTGCCCTTTTGATTTTTTTACTCGACGTGGCGGTGAACAGTGTTGAGGTTTTATGTATGTAAAAACTCTACAAGTTTTGAGTAGGTTGCTAGGCTACTGTTGATGTCTACCTATTATCAGTATTATCGATAGCTAAGTATAAGATAGGGAAACCTGAGGGAAGCAGAAGTTAAGAACTCTCTGTCAAAGTTACGCTCTGTCACTCACTTTCCCACGCGTTAAAATTTTAATTTTTAAAATTCGCAAACCCGTATTAGGACCGAATTTTTTGCAGACAACCCTATATCAATGTGTTCGTAATGAAACAGCGCTTATGTTGATATATATTTTTTTTTATTATCAAATCAAGTGAAATTAACTGGCATCGATATACCTGTTTATACCTGACAACCCAGTAGTTCGTCCAGGTAAATAATAGACAACCCAACGTCTGCACATTCTATATGTTTTATACTTTAAGTCAGAATTAAAT